TTGTTTTATTTTAATTAAATTAATTATATATATATATATATATATATATATCTAATATAAAATTGTTTGTTTTATTTTAATTAATTTATTTATATATATATATATATATATATATATATATATATATATATATATAAAATTAAAATAAAACAAACAATTTTATATTAGATATATATATATATATAATAATTAAAATAAAACAAACAAAATTTTATATAAATAATTAAATTTTTTTACAAAATGAATTCATTTATTTAATATATTTGGGGCAGCACAGTGGCTAAGTGGTTAGCACTTCTTCCTAGCGGTGTCTTTAAGTGGTTAAGGGGCAGAAGGTACAAAGGATAAGCGCACTGTGTTATAAATGGATCTCGAAAGTTCCAGGGACCAATGCTTGTGTAGGTCAGTATAGCCCTCCCCTGCTCTTCATTGATGGCAGTGCTGAAAATCCATGTTAGGTAATTCAATACACAGGATCCATCATATGTCCATAGTCATGTCTCTGTACCAGAGGCAGCAACACATGAAGCAGACGGAGGACAAAACATACTATGCCGGTCCTGGTTTGTACAACCCGACACCCTCCCAGGTATTGCCAGGAGTCCAGCCAGCCATTTCAGGCTTCTACTTGCTTTAGTCCTGGAGATATTAGAGGTGAAATGCGAATCGTTTGGGAGGTAAAACAGCCGGGGGTCTCCATCACCTTCTAAACAAAGGGCCATTTACTATCCTTGGCTTTAGGGGGGCAGACTGTGCCCAGTGGGAATAGGAAGTGCCCTAGGGTTGGAGGAAACTATACATCATCATTGGTGTCAGTGGGATGAATAGTGCCCCGTCATAGGTGTCAGTGGATGGAATAGTTTCTTGTATCATTGGTGTCAGTGGATGGAATAATGCTCCAACGTTGGTGTCAGTGGCAGTAATTAGGCTCCATTGTTTGTGTTAATGGGAGGAATAGTTCCTTGTTTTATTATTTTGTTGGTGTCAGTGGGATGAATAGTTCCTCATGCTTGATGTCAGTGGATGGAATAGTTCCTGGTGTCAGTGGATGGAATAATGAATGGAACAATGTTCCATCGTTGGTGTCAGGGACAGTAATTAGGCTCCATTGTTGGTGTTAGTGGAAGGAATAGTTCCTTGTTTTGTTGGTGTCAGTGAGAGGAATAGTTCCTTGTTTTATTGTTTTGTTGGTGTCCGTGAGAGGAATAGTGAATAGAATAATGCCCCATCATTGGTGTCAGTGGCAGAACTTAGGCTCCATTGTTGGTGTCAGTGGGAGAAATAGTTCCTTGTGTCAGTGGATGGAATAGTGAATAGAATAATGCACTATCATTGGTGTCAGTGGCAGTTATTGGGCTCCATTGTTGGTGTCAGTAGGGGAAATAGTTGCTTGTATCATTGGTGTCAGTGGATGGAATAGTTAATGGATTAATGCCCCATCGTTGGTGTATGTGGCAGTAATTAGGCTTCATTTTTTATGTCGCTGACACCAACGATACAAGGAACTGTTCCTCCCACTGACACCAACGATACAAGGAACTGTTCCTCCTACTGACATAAAAAAATGAAGCCTAATTACTGCCACATACACCAATGATGGGGCATTATTCCATTAACTATTCCATCCACTGACACCAATGATACAAGCAACTATTTCCCCTACTGACACCAACAATGGAGCCTAATTACTGCCAATGTCACCAATGATAGTGCATTATTCTATTCACTATTCCTCCCACTGACACAAGGAACTATTCCTCCTACTGACACCAACAATGGAGCCTAATTGCTGCCACTGACACCAATGATGGAGCATTATTCCATTCACTGTTCCATCCCTATTCACAAAGATCGGAGTTGGTGCCGACTGAGGAGGTATTCTACATCCCATATGGCTAAGAGCTGATTTGTATCCCGTTTTATTGGTGACACCTTCATACTGGATATAAAGAGTAGTATTGGATTCTGGATATGTTGGTTACTCTAGTTAGTATGATATCGATGTCGTGTTCTAAAGGTCACACTTGTTGGCTCCGGCTGACGTTGGAATTCTAGGCTCGGCTTCCTCCAGGGAATACAAAGGTGACTTCTGAGTGAAGAAGAAGGTTGATTACAAGCTGCCTCTGTCTGCTAAGGTCGTGCTTTGTGTCGGGGGGCGTGCTTTGTGTCGGGGGGCGTGTTTTTGTGTCGGGCGTGTTCAGCTGAAGGTAGCCCTTCCATGTAGAATGTTCATGCTCTGCTCTTTGCTTGTTCCTGGCCATGCTGCGCTGGTTGCCTTATGGTGAGCTAGAAAACCTCCCGAATATTGTAGCAAACATTTCAATTCGATTGAAAAGCAGATCTGCTATTACAATCACATACAGGTAGTTATGCTGGCGCAGCCAAGTGTAGCAGTATCAACTTTAATAAATAGAAGGTAATGAAAAACGGCCAATTGCATGGGCAAGTAATAAGGAAGAACAGCCAATCACATGGGCAACTGATAAGGTAGAACAGCCAATCACGTGGGCAACTGAGAAGGAAAAACTGCCAATCACATGTGTAACTGAGAAGGAAAAACAGCCAATCAAGTGGGCAGCTGATAAGGAAGAACGGCCAATCACGTGGGCAGCTGATAAGGAAGAACGGCCAATCATGTGGGCAACTGATAAGGAAGAACGGCCAATCACGTGGGCAACTGATAAGGAAGAACGGCCAATCACGTGGGCAACTGATAAGGAAGAACGGCCAATCACGTGGGCAACTGATAAGGAAGAACGGCCAATCACGTGGGCAACTGAGACGGAGAACGGCCAATCACGTGGGCAACTGATAAGGAAGAACGGCCAATCACGTGGGCAACTGAGACGGGAGAACGGCCAATCACGTGGGCAACTGATAAGGAAGAACGGCCAATCACGTGGGCAACTGAGACGGGAGAACGGCCAATCACGTGGGCAACTGAGACGGGAGAACGGCCAATCACGTGGGCAACTGAGACGGGAGAACGGCCAATCACGTGGGCAACTGAGACGGGAGAACGGCCAATCACGTGGGCAACTGAGACGGGAGAACGGCCAATCACGTGGGCAACTGAGACGGGAGAACGGCCAATCACGTGGGCAACTGAGAAGGGAGAACGGCCAATCACGTGGGCAACTGAGAAGGGAGAACGGCCAATCACGTGGGCAACTGAGACGGGAGAACGGCCAATCACGTGGGCAACTGAGACGGGAGAACGGCCAATCACGTGGGCAACTGAGACGGGAGAACGGCCAATCACGTGGGCAACTGAGACGGGAGAGAACGGCCAATCACGTGGGCAACTGAGACGGGAGAACGGCCAATCACGTGGGCAACTGAGACGGGAGAACGGCCAATCACGTGGGCAACTGAGAAGGGAGAACGGCCAATCACGTGGGCAACTGAGAAGGGAGGAGAGAACGGCCAATCACGTGGGCAACTGAGAAGGGAGAACGGCCAATCACGTGGGCAACTGAGAAGGGAGAACGGCCAATCACGTGGGCAACTGAGAAGGAAAAACGGCCAACTGATAAGGAAAAACGGCCAATCACATGGCCAACTGATAAGTGTGTATAGACCATCCTACATGAGGACGCTACTCCACTCCACAGACAGCTCAAAGCCAACAAAGGTAGAAGGCAAGATGATTGCCACTAACAAATCTGTCTCTGGTGTGTTGAACCAAATGTCAAACAATAGGTAATGACCAGTGGGTGTGGCAATGCATTTCAGTCTGCCGAAACGCGTCACCATATCCACCTGTCACTCCCTGTTGGGTGACATCAGAAAAATAACTTTTAGGGCTTTTTTATGCAGCCAGCCAGGGGGCTGTAAAAACATTGCCAGCAACCTGAAATCTAACATTACAGGCCGACAAGGCTGTATACATGCCAGGGCATTTTTAACACGGACTACAGCGTTTAACAAGTTGCACCGCCTATGAAACGCACACATTGGGATCAATGGGGCCGCACTTGTTGCACTGTAAAGTCGCAATGAAAATCGTGTAATTTTGAAGTCGCACAAGTGTGAAAGCCCATATGGAAGAAAAACATATTTGAAATTTTTTAATTCTACAATTTTTACCATATTCAATATATTTAAAATATATATATATATATTTATATACACACATACTGCATGTTGAAATATTTTTAAAAGTACATTTCAAATATATTGTATGTCTTTAAAAATACGAATCTACATTTTTGGAATGCATTTACAAATATATGTAAAAATATATGATAAAATGACTTTTTTTTTATGTTAAAATAGATCTGAAGAATATATTTAAAAAAATATATATTTATTGAAATATATTTTAAATATATTGAATATGGCCAAAATTGTAGTATTTCATATATGTATGAATATATTTGGAAAGAATATTTTTAAAATATATTTCAAATATATTTTTCTTCCGTGTAGGAGGAGCCCTAATAAATAGGTGATGTTGAAGTCGCACAAGTGTGAAAGCCTATATGTAAGAAAAATATATTTAATATATATTTTAAAAATATTCTTCCCAAATATATTGACATATGTTTGAAATGCTACAATTTGGCCATATTCAATATATTTAAAAATATATTTCAATAAATATATATACACTGTATGTTGAAATGCATTTTTATTACAAAATACAGTATATAACAAATATTTTTAACAATACTTTTCAAATATATTGTATGTCCTTTAAAAATACAAATCTACATTTTTAGAATGCATTTACAAATATATGTTAAAATGACTTTTTTATATGTTAAAAAAGATCTGAAGAATATATTTAAAAAATATATTTATTGAAATATATTGAATATGGCCAAAATTGTAGTATTTCAAATATATGTCAATTTATTTGGGAAGAATATTTTTAAAATGTATTCTCAATATATTTTTCTTCCATGTGGGAGGAGCCCTAATAAATAGGTGATGATGACAAGGAGGCACGGACTATAGCAAATATCTCATTGTGATTTCTCTCTCTCAGCCTGAATATGGCGTCAAGAGGTACGACGGAGACCGGTAAACTCCGGCAGAACCTGGAAGAACAGCTCGACCGACTGATGCAGCAGCTCCAAGACCTGGAGGAGTGCAGGTGAGGCAGACATCGCATCTGAATAGAACGGGACCTACAGACCTCTGACAGCGAGGACAATCTGGCAGTAAAACGATCTTTTTAGAAACATCCCTGTTTTTGCTCGACAACCCCATATGTAGGACCTTGGAAGTTTAATTAGGGACTGCTGTCTTTGCCAGACTGCGGGGGGTAGGGAGTCTCATGTGTGATCACCGTGCTGCCAATCCAAGCTAAACATATAGACTTAGACAAAAAAAAATGTAACAAAAACAAACAAAAAAAAATGTAACAAAAACAAACAAAAAAAAAAGTAACAAAGACAAACAAAAAAAAAGCACCCCCCCCCCCCCCAACAAAAAAAAAAAAAAAAACAGGCAGACTCAATGGAAAAAAAAATTACCAAAATACAAACAAAAAAAAAGCAACACCCCCCCCCCCCAACAAAAAAAACAAAAAAACAGGCAGACTCAATGGAGAAAAAAATTACCAAAAAACACACAAAAAAAAGCAACATCCCCCCAACAAAAAACAAAAAAAACAGGCAGGGTCAATGGAAATTTTTTTTAACAAAAACAAACAAAATAAAGCAACCCCCCCCCCCCCCAAAAAAAACAAAAAAAAAACAGGCAGACTCAATGGACCACTCAGCCTTTTTCTATGTAACATTTGGGTAGCTTAGGCTGGATTCCCCATATACTACCAAAATGACGTCCAGTATTGAGGTATGATTTCTATTACTTACCTACCTGGCAATCTGATGTTATTGGCCATGGTTTTAGGTTTTTATGGGTATTTATGGCACAGGAAGTGTTGATCCCCCTGTTGGCGCAGTAGGGGTATGTAGACAAGAGGTTAAAGCTGACGTTTAGGTATGGAAGTTTTTGCAGTTGCATTGGTCCAGTTTGGACTGAAGCTGGTATGTATTCGCCGTACCTTTGGGGTCTCTGTTGAAGCTGGAAATCACTGAAATAGGCACTGCTACTTTTAGTGATCTCCACTACCTTCCATGCAATGTGGCTGCTCTGCTGGAGGTCAGCCGCTCAGTATGGGCGCTATTCAGAAAACACTGCGCATTGTCCCAGTGAAAGCAAGACATTCTCTGATTGGAGGAGGTGGAGAATGTGACATCACTCTCCCACCTCTCCACCTTGTCCAGTCAGAGAATACTTTGCAGTCATTGAGAAAATGAAAAGCGTTTTAAAGGATAAGTTCACCTTTGGGAACATGTTACATGTTCCACCCGTTTTTAGGGTCGATCATGTAAAAAGTTCCCACTTCTGCAGCCACTCCCCTGTGACAGCAGGCCAGGGATATTCTCCCAGCACCTGCTGTCACTATTTGAAAAGAGCACTGCTTCGCTCTGCCCACACGGCTGCGTATTCTCATTCAAAGAGTTCTGTGAATGAATGAACTACGAGTACCGACTGCCTTTGTGGCTGTTGATTTGTAGCCCTCAGTGAACTACTAGAGCGTGGTTGAGTGCTCTAGGTAGTTTAATTCTTCCTGTCATTATACCCGTACGAGCAGACAGCTTACATGGAGTCTTCAGGAGCCCTGTGATCTGCTGATCGTGGGTGCAATGCTTTCCAGGCTACTACAAAAAAAAAAAAAGTAATTGCACAGACTTTTTTACCTGCCAAACATGCATTTATTATTGTTTTTTAAAGGTGAACTTATCCTTTAACCGCCTCCCACCTGCCATATAAGGAAATGACGGACGCAAGGCGGTTCTCTCGTTCTGGGAGGATGTCATATAACGTCCTCCCATTCTAACCGCGCATGTGCGGCTCTGGGGGAGCGCATTGCAGCGATCAGTGGCGCGCTGTGTCCCTCGGACACAGCAGATCACCGATCAACGGAAAGAGCCGAAGATGTCCGCTCAGTCATGTGATCAGCTGTGTCCAATCACAGCTGATCACATGTAAATAAGGAAATGCCAGTTATTGGCAGTTCTCTCCTCACGAGCTGTCACACTGACAGAGGAGAGGAGGGAGAGCCGGTAATCTGCATTTCTCAGAGGGGACATGTACACTGATCATCAGGGCACTGATGATCAGTGTGCCCTGATGATCAGTGTAGCCCCAGCAGTGCCACCTGTCAGTGCTCATCAATGCCACCTGCGAGTGCCACATCAATGCCACATAGTGCCTACCAGTGCACATCAATGCCACATATCCGTGCCCATCTGAGCTGCCTTTCAGTGCCACCTATCAGTGCCAGTCAGTGTGCCACCTATCAGTGCTGCCAATCAGTGCTGCCTCTCAGTGCCCGTCAGTGCTGCCTATCTGTGCCGCCTATCAGTGCTAGTCAGTGCGCCTATCAGTGCCGCCAGTCAGTACCATATATGAGTGCTGCCTTTTATTGCCCATCAGTGATGCCTGTCAATGCCTACCAGTGCCACCTATCAGTGCCCATCAGTGCAGCCTATCAGTGCCCATCAGTGCTGCCTCATTAGCACATCAGTGAAGGAGAAAAATCACTTATTTACAAAATGTTATAACAAAAACTAAGAAAAAATGTTTACTAAAAAAATAACGGAATAAATTTTGGCCAAGATTTATGATGAAATATTATTTATTTGCAAAATTTTATTTAAAAAAAACACTTTTTTTCAAAATTTTTGGACTTTTTTATTTACATACCAAAAAAAAATAAAAATCCCAGCGGTGATTAAATACCACCAAAATGAAGCTCTATCTGTCTCAAAACAATGATAAAAATTTCATATGAGTAAAGTGTTGCATGACCGCGCAATTGTCATTCAAAGTGTGACAGCACTGAAAGCTGAAAATTGGCCTGGGCAGGAAGGGGGTAGAAGTGCCCTGTAGGCGAGGGGTTAAACGGCGCCTGTGCTGAGCAAGTGAACTGCTATGTTCATTAACCCCTTGGCGCTTCCCAGCCCTTTACATCCGGTCACATCGATCCTGACTTAGAAATCGCGCAACTTCACTGTAAGTCGCACAGTTTCAAAGTCGGGATGTCATTGCGATTTAAGGTGCGATTTGTAAGACATCTGACACAGATGTCTATGCAAATCGCAGAAAAAGTCGTGCATGCACTACTTTAGAAATCGGTGCGGATCCAACCAAGTCAGAACCGCACCGATGTGAACGTTGTATTTGCGGACAATAGGGTGCGACTTGGCGTGCAATTTGCAAGTCGCATGGCATGCAAATCGCATGCAAAGTTGCACCCAGTGCGACAGGGGTCTTAAAGAGTTTTAGATGCCGTGAGGCCAGGTTTGTGATCATGTGACCGCTGTAATTGGCTGTCGCAGCAGTCACATGGTCGGAAAGCTCCCAATCACACGCAGAATCTGGAGTTTTCCGTTAGTCGCCGTGAGCGTGCATGATGCGTGCTTTCGGCACAGTTCTGTTTTTCTTTGGGTATGCCTATACGCGGCCTCTCGGCGTGAGGGCCCACATGCATATGGCTGTGGGGAAGGAGTTAGGCAGCAGGGCAGCTGTTGAGCACGGAGCCCGGAAGCTGGCAGCAATCAGTGTAGTAGTGGTGCCTACTACAGTGATTTCTAGCTTCTATGGAGTTCCCACAGGTATGGCACATACAGGCATACTTCGGTTTACAAATTTTATTTATTTCTGCGGGACTTTTCGTATTGTGAAAAATACGTAAACCAAAATGCGGTTTCCCATAGGAATGCAGTGAGAACCAATTAATCCGTTCCGGAGGTCAGAAAAAAATAAAAGAAGTCTGTTATCTGTTCAAAACTCTTTATAAAGTGCACTTTAAAGGCATAAATACTGTACAGGGACATGATTAAAAATTAATTTATAAATGCATTGAAAACCAATTAATCCATTCCGGAGGTCAGAAAAAAGTAAAAAATAAGTCTTATATGTTCAAAACTCTTTATAAAGTGCACTTTAAGCACCTCCCGTCCGGACGACGTTGTATATAAATGGCCGGATGGTGGCAGTGCAGGGGAGGGTGGCCTCCCCACCCCCTGCTTGTGCACGCTCCTTGGGAGCGCGCAGCACCGCGAGCCAGTGCCTGCTGTGTCCTCCGGACACAGTGGAACACCGATCGTTGGACGGGACCTCTGTGCGAGGTCCCGATCATGTGATCACTGATTGGCCAATCAGTGATCACATGCAGAGTAGTAAGCAAGATGTCACTTCTGACATCATTGCTTACTACGTGTGAAATCTGTGAATGATCACAGAGGTCACATGGTACAGGCCTATTCACAACAGCCTTGTACCATGTGACAAGCTGTGACCAATCATAGCTCACACAGTATTTCTCAATGGCTGCAAGAATGCAGCCAGAGAGGAGGAGAAATGATTTCTTTTACAGCCTTTATGGGTGTAAAAGCAATCAGTGTAAAAAAAAAAAAAATCTTCATCACCCCCCACAAGTAGTACAGTGTCACCATGGTGACACTGTACTGCTAGGGTGACAGTATGTAAAAACAAGTAATAAAAATTAATATAAAATTTTTTTTTTTTAAAAATTATAATTTTTTGGTTCTAAACTAATTTGGGTTATTTTTTTTTTTTTTTTTTTACTAAAAATATAACGGAATAAAAAAAAAAAAATAACAAAAAATTGGTCTGGACAGGAAGGGGGTAAAAGTGTCCGGACTGGAAGTGGTTAAAAAAAAACGATCAGAAAGCATGGTAAGAATGCCTATTCGTTTTTGCGGCGGATCAGTGGGAAAGTAGCCTAAGGAGAGTTTTTCTGTCTTGCAGGGAAGAGTTGGACACTGATGAGTACGAGGAAACCAAGAAAGAAACTTTAGAGCAACTGAGCGAATTTAACGACTCTCTGCAGAAGATTATGTCTGGGAATATGACTTTGGTGGACGAGCTGAGCGGGATGCAGCTGGTAAGAATCTGCCATTGTAGTCGGTGTGGCTCTGTCCTTGTAGACACTTTTTACTTTTCACGCTGGAGCTCAACCTTGTACAACATGAAGAGCCGTCCATCTAGGAGCGAAAAATGCATTGCCCCAATGCAGAGCCAGTGCACCCAGATCCATGCATCCATCCATGCACCCTTGTTATACATACCATGGCAGCACGTGCTTGGAGTTTGCATGTTCTCCCTGTGCCTGCGTGGGTTTCCTCCAGGTACCCCAGTTTCCTCCCACACTCCAAAGACATGCTGATAGGTGAATTGGCTCCTGTCTAAATTGGCCCTAGTATGTATATGTATGAATGTGAGTTAGGGACCTTAGATTGTACACCCCTTGAGGGTTAGGGACTGATGTGAATGTACAACATATATGTAAAGCGCTGTGTAAATTGACGGCGCTATATAAGTACCTTAAGAAATAAATATGTGTGTGTGTTTTGGATGTGGTCACTTACCGACCACAGCTGTTGTGATCTACCAGTGAGCCTAATTAATGTGAGAATACGTGCACGTGGAAGTAAGACACTGGCACTGTTGCAGTTTGCCAACTTCCTAAAATTCTGTTTTATTGAGGAACTAACCGTATCATTTATAGGGCTTATGATGCAGGCAAAGCATATACATTGATTGGGTGAAAAGTCCACTGGGTTTCTGCGTGTTCTTCCATCCGTGTTGATATCTTCCAATCATTGTCCCCAAAAAGACTCATTCCCTTTTATGGGGGTTGTTTACATTAAAAGATACTTTTGTCCTAATGAGTCACCTAGGGTGAGACTCCGGATGAAGGCGCCATCTTAATTATCATCATCGTTCTGTCAACCTATATCTGATTGTTTACTTAAGAGAGTAAGGAATTTTAAAGAGCAAGAAGCAGAAAGTAGCAAGACTATATAAAATTGTCATTTTACTGATCATCTAATAGAACGTGGACTGTCTATCACAATCCACTACATGTGTATGTGTGTGCGCACGTGTATGTATGTTTTTTATAATATATATATATGTGTGTGTGTGTATGTATATATATATAATATATATATGTGTGTGTATGTATATATATAATATATATATGTGTGTGTGTATGTATGTATATATATATATATATATATATGTGTGTGTATGTATGTATATATATAATATATATATGTGTGTGTGTGTATGTATGTATATACAGTTGCAAGAAAAAGTATGTGAACCCCTTGGGATTACGTGGAGTTTTGCATGAATTGGGCATAAAATGTGCTCTGAACGTCATCTAAGTCACAACAATAGAAGAACACAGTCTGCTGAACATAATACTACACAAACATTAGATGTTGCCATGGTTTTGTATGTAATTGCACATAACATGTAAACATTCACAGTGCAGGGAGGAAAGAGTATGTGAGGCCCTAGCTTAATGACTTCTCCCAGAGCTAATTGGAGCCAGGAGTCAGCCAACCTTGACTCCAATCAGTGTGATGACATTGTATGTGTTGCTGACAGCTGTCCTGCCCTTAAAAAACACACACCTGTTTTGGGTTTACTGGTTTCAAGAAGCACTGTCTGATGTGAACCATGCCTCGCAGAAAAGAGCTCTCAGAAGACCTACGATCAAGAATTGTTGACTTGCATGAAGCTGGAAAGGGTTTACAAAAGTATCTCCAAAAGCCTTGATGTTCATGTGTCCACGGTAAGACAGACTGTCTACAAATGGAGAAAGTTTAGCACTGTTGCTGCTCTCCCTAGGCGTGGTCGTCCTGTAAAAATGACTGCAAGAGCACAGCGCAGAATGCTGCATGAGGTAAAGAAGAATCCCAGAGTGTCAGCTAAAGACCTACAGAAATCTCTGGCACATGCTAACATTTTTGTTGACACATCTACAATAAGGAAAACATTAAACAAGAATGGAGTACATGGGAGGACACCACGGAGGAAGCCATTGCTCTCCAAAAAGAATATTGCAGCACGTTTGAAGTTTGCAAAAGAGCACCTGGATGTTCCACAGCACTACTGGCAAAATATACTGTGGACAGATGAAACCAAGATTGAGTTGTTTGGGAAGAACACACAACACTATGTGTGGAGAAAAAAAGGCCCAGCACACCAACATCAAAACCTCATCCCCACTGTAAAACATGGCGGAGGGAGCATCATGGTTTGGGGCTGCTTTGCTGCCTCAGGGCCTGGACGGATTGTTGTCATTGATGGGAAAATGAATTCCAGAGTTTATCAAGACATTTTGCAGGAAAACGTACGACCATCTGTCCGCCAACTGAAGCTCCGCAGAGGATGGGTGATGCAACAGCACAATGACCCAAAGCATACAAGTAATTCAACAAAACAATGGCTGCAACAGCACAGAATACGCCTTCTGGAGTGGCCCAGTCAGAGTCCTGACCTCAACCCGATTGAAATGCTGTGGCATGACCTTAAGAGAGCGATTCACACCAGACATCCCAAGAATATTTGCTACACTGAAACAGTTTTGTGAAGAGGAGTGGTCCAAAATGACTCCAGATCGTTGTGCAGGTCTGATCTGCAACTACAGGAAACGTTTGGTTGAGGTTATTGCTGCCAAAGGAAGGTCAACCAGTTATTAAGTCCAAAGGTTCACATACTTTTTCCTTCCTGCACTGTGAATGTTTACATGTTATGTGCAATTAAACCATGTGGCAACATCTAATGTTTGTGTAGTATTATGTTCAGCAGACTGTGTTCTTCTATTGTTGTGACTTAGATGACGTTCAGAGCACATTTTATGCCCAATTCATGCAAAACTGCACGTAATCCCAAGGGGTTCACATACTTTTTCTTGCAACTGTATATAATATATATATGTGTGTGTATGTATGTATATAATATATATGTATGTGTGTGTATGTATATATATAATATATATATGTGTGTATGTGTGTGTATGTATGTATGTATAAAAATATATATATATATATATATATATTGTATATTATATATATGTGTGTGTGTGTGTATGTATGTTTATAATATATGTGTTTGTGTGTGTGTATATGTATGTATGTGTATGTATATATATGTGTATGTGTTTGCATATATTTATTTATATGGTACATGTAACAGATATTTTCACAGCATCCCCTTCCAGACAGAGGAAAAATAGAATCTTTTTTATGGTGTCAGACTGCGCCCATCAAGAATCATTAGACACCATTTAACGCTTCACTGATCTCTTACAGGCCATCAGGACACATCTTAAAGAGGCTTCTGTGCGCAGAGAGCTTGTAAAATGTAATGCAATTAGTTAGCCATTAAACCGTATCACACTCACTATTTACGTTTACTGCTGAGGAACTAAGACAGTCACACACATTACAGAGTGGTCAGATGTGTACGTGATGCAACCATCTTCACGGCGCACAGTGTATTAATGGGGCACTCTACAAATTTTGTCAGGGAAGCTCCCGTCTCATGTTCATCGAGTCCAGAAGGAACAATTTCAGCCAAAAAAAAAACTTGTGTGGAGTGGAGCTGGATCCTTCGAGCAGTCTTTGGCACCAGGGAAAATTACCGTCTTTATACCCAATCTGATGCCACCAGATCGAATTCATTGCAAAGTTCTGTGGGGGATCCACTAGAGCAGTGTGGGACAACTTACTTTGATAGGAGTACAAAAAAAAAATGGCGACCACCCCAGCCTATAATTATATCGCATATAATTCTTTTATGTCACAGGCTATCCAAGCAGCGATCAGCCAGGCCTTTAAAACCCCAGAGGTCATCCGGATGTTTGCCAAAAAGCAGCCAGGACAGCTGAGGACGCGGTTAGGAGAGGTGAGATTGGCCGGTGCCATAAGACATGGACCAATCAGGGGCAAGCTGTCTATACTTTGTCTGTTTTCTAGATGGATCGGGATTTAATGGTCGGAAAACTTGGAAGAGACCTCTATACTCAGCAGAAAGGGGAGATCCTGACGGCTCTGAGAAAACTTGGAGAGAAGGTAATGTCAATGAGATAAGTTTTTTTTGGTTTTTTTTTCCTTTTTTTTAAACTGGTTAAAAAATAAGGTCACCTTTAGGGCTCATTTAGTCCTCACACACACTGAATGTTGTTCTTTTTACAGCGGTTGTTTTTTGGCTTTTGACGTTTTTTTCTACAGCTAGTAAACCCCCCAGCATGTTATCCTATGTGTCCATGCACACATAGACTGTAATCAGCGTTTTTTGGCTGGAAAAAAAAAACAGGACTAGTGGATTTCTAGAGGAGTTTATTAGCTGTAAAAACACTCTAACACGGCAAAACATGGTAAATAGCAGTAAACCGCTGCAAACCAGCATTTTTGGAAGTTTTTTGAGTCCCCCCAAAAAAAAATTGGGGGGGGGGGTAAATAAATGATAAAAACGCTAAACGCAAATGCGAAAAAACACCTCTAAACGCTAATGCAAAAATGCAAAAAAAAGCTGAAAAACTCACGGTTTTAACGCCACTTGTAAAGTGGCGTTAAAACCGTGAGTTTTTCAGCTTTTTTTTTGCGCTGACAACTTGAGCAGTGTGACTGCTAAAGTTGTCAGCGTCATCAAAACACCCAGTGTGCATGGAGTCTTACACTTGCTTCGACAGCATTAACCACTTCCTGACTGTGTGCTCACGCTCCCTACCCGCTCCGCTATTGGTTCCTCGGCATATCAATCACCCGGGTCCCGGTCGCCGATTCTCAGGCGGGACTCGGTGATCGGCGGCGGAGCTGACGGGAGAGAGGTCTGTATGTAAACAATACATACAGATCTCTCCCCTGTCAGCACAAGCAGGGTGCTTTGTATTGCTCTGCACAACAGTAGCACCCCCCAGCTCTGTTGATGCTCTGCTCAATAGTACCCCCAGCTCTGCTGATCCCCCACTCAGTAGTAACCAGCAGCTCTGCTGATCCTCTGGTTTGCTGATCCTCCTCTCTCTACAGTCCCCTCTCACCTTCTGCTATATATTGCTACATTTGACAATGCTGGTTTCTCCTGATCTGTTCTGCCAGCTCTGCTGATCCTCTGCTGCTTAGTCTTCTCTCTCCGGTCCTCGTTGGCCTTCTGCTATAGTGTTCCCATGTTGTACACCATGTATGCCATCTGCTAGTTGCTCCACTCTAGTCCGGACCCCACTCACCTTCCTTCTGCTCCATGCTGCACAGGTAAAGGTGATGTCCTCACCAGGGTGCAGGGATAGACTGATGGAGCATGTTACATTTTACACCCTAAATATGGGTTAACATATGTGGAACATATTTTATGTTTTTTTTTTTTTGTTTTGTTTTTTCTTAGCTGACGCCGGAGGAGGAAGCTTTCCTTGCAGAGAATGCAGGTGCTGCACTCAGCCAGTTTCAGAAGGTCTCAGAAGGATTAGGTGAGTCAATATATCGGTCTGTTTGCTTCTAGTAGTGAGGCAGCAGAGTGGTCCAGTGGTTGGTCCTTTTGTATTACAGATAAGTGGTTTCACTTCATTGCCTACCAGAAAAACTGTCTGCAGGTCGGTTGAATATCCTTATTATTTTGTTATTTCCTCCCACAATAATACTGACTAATGATAAAGCGGAACTTCACAGCATCTGAGCATTATACACCAAAAAACGCTATTTAATTTATTTTTAATATTCAAAGCAAACCCCCCCCCCCCCCCCCCCCCCCCCCCCCAATCCATCAGTGTCTCCCTGCTTTATTTTGCTGAGGAATCACTTTGAACCCCCCCCCAGCATTTCTGGTTGTGGCCATCTTAAGTAAAGGTAGACGATTCATGTAGCATTTACTTCCTGGAATCCATCTGCCCTTAACGCCAATAAGGAGGGTGTGCTTAGGTGGGAAAGCTTCTCCTCCTCTCCTGAAGTCTCATGGGATGTATGACATCATTTGCCTAGGCATGGAAACCAGGAAGCAACTGAAGAAATGTAAAAAACAAAAGTTTAAAGCAAGCAAATCTGATATACTTTTCTATCTATTATTGAAGTGTTACTAAACCTCAGACCCTGCATTCCGGGGAGACCAGATATAGTGAATGCAGGGTCCGGGGAGACCGGATATAGTGAATGGAGGGTCCAGGGAGACCGGATATAGTGAATGCAGGGTCCGGGGAGAGCGGATATAGTGAATGCAGGGTCCGGGGAGACCGAATATAGTGAATGCAGGGTCCGGGGAGAGCGGATATAGTGAATGCAGGGTCCAGGGAGACCAGATATAGTGAATGCAGGGTCCGGGGAGACCGGATATAGTGAATGCGGGGTCCGGGGAGACCGGATATAGTGAATGCGGGGTCCGGAGAGAGCGGATATAGTGAATGGAGGGTCCGGGGAGACCGGATATAGTGAATGCAGGGTCCGGGGAGACCAGATATAGTGAGTGCAGGGTCCGAGGAGACCGGATATAGTGAATGCAGGGTCCGGGGAGACCGAATATAATGAATGCAGGGTCCGGGGAGACCAGATATAGTGAATGCGGGGTCCGGGAAAGGGGATATAGTGAATGCGGGGTCTGGGGAGACCAGATTTAGTGAATGCGGGGTCCGGGGAGAGCGGATACAGTGAATACGGGGTCCGGGGAGAGCGGATATAGTGAATGCGGGGTCCGGGGAGAGCGGATATAGTGAATGCAGGGTCCGGGTGAAGAGTGGATATAGTGAATGCAGGGTCCGGGGAGACCAGATATAGTGAATGCAGGGTCCGGGGAGAGCAGATATAGTAATGCGGGGTCCGGGGAGAGCGGATATAGTGAATGCGGGGTCCGGGGAGAGCGGATATAGTGAATGCGGGTCCGGGGGAGAGAGGATATAGTGAATGCGCGGTCCGGGGAAAGCGGATATAGTGAATGCGCGGTCCGGGGAAAGCGGATATAGTGAATGCGGGGTCCGGGGAGACCGGATATAGTGAATGCAGGGTCCGGGGAGAGCGGATATAGTGAATGCAGGGTCCAGGGAGACCAGATATAGTGAATGCAGGGTCCGGGGAGACCGGATATAGTGAATGCGGGGTCCGGAGAGAGCGGATATAGTGAATGCGCGGTCCGGGGAGACCAGATATAGTGAATGCGGGGTCCGGGGAGACCGGATATAATGAATGCAGGGTCCGGGGAGACCAGATATAGTGAATGCGGGGTCCGGGGAAAGGGATATAGTGAATGCGGGGTCTGGGGAGACCAGATTTAGTGAATGCGGGGTCCGGGGAGAGCGGATATAGTGAATGCAGGGTCCGGGGAGACCAGATATAGTGAATGCGGGGTCCGGGGAGAGCGGATATAGTGAATGCGGGGTCCGGGGGAGAGAGGATATAGTGAATGCGCGGTCCGGGGAAAGCGGATATAGTGAATGCGGGGGTCCGGGGAGACCGGATATAGTGAATGGAGGGTCCAGGGACACCGGATATAGTGAAGGCAGGGTCCGGGGGAGAGATATAGTGAGTGCGGGGAGACCAGATATAGTGAATGCAGGGTCCGGGGAGACCGGATATAGTGAATGCAGGGTCTGGGGAGACCGGATATAGTGAATGCGGGTCCGGGGATACCAGATATAGTGAATGCGGGGTCCGGGGAAAGGGGATATAGTGAATGCGGGGTCTGGGGAGACCAGATTTAGTGAATGCGGGGTCCGGGGAGAGCGGATACAGTGAATGCGGGGTCCGGGGAGAGCGGATACAGTGAATACGGGGTCCGGGGGGAAGAGCGGATATAGTGAATGCGGGGTCCGGGGAGAGCGGATATAGTGAATGCAGGGTCCGGGGAGAGCGGATATAGTGAAATGCGCGGTCCGCGGAAAGCGGATATAGTGAATGCGCGGTCCGGGGAAAGCGGATATAGTGAATGCGGGGTCCGGGGAGACCGGATATAGTGAATGGAGGGTCCAGGGAGACCGGATATAGTGAATGGAGGGTCCGGGTGAGACTGGATATAGTGAATGGAGGGTCCGGGGAGACCGGATATAGTGAATGGAGGGTCCGGGGAGACCGGATATAGTGAATGGAGGGTCCGGGGAGACCGGATATAGTGAATGGAGGGTCCGGGGAGACCGGATATAGTGAATGGAGGGTCCGGGGAGACCGGATATAGTGAATGGAGGGTCCGGGGAAGGGAGACCAGATATAGTGAATGCAGGGTCCAGGGAGACCAGATATAGTGAATGCAGGGTCCGTGGAGACCGGATATAGTGAATGCGGGGTCCGTGGAGACCGGATATAGTGAATGCGGGGTCCGGGGAGACCAGATATGGTGAATGCAGGGTCCGGGGAGACCGTATATAGTGAATGCGGGGTCCGGGGAGACCAGATATGGTGAATGCAGGGTTTGGGGAGACCAGATATAGTGAATGCAGGGTCCGGGGAGACCAGATATAGTGAATGCAGGGTCCGGGGAGACCGGATATAGTGAATGCGGGGTCCTGGGAGAGCGGATATGGTGAATGCAGGGTCCTAGGTTTAGTAACACTTTAACTATTTGCCTATCGGCATGTTGCGATGCATTATAGCACGTTGGAGCATGCTGTGCAAAAAATGCAACATGTCCATGGATAAAAGGCAAGCTGCTTTGTCTATGTTTTGGGACTGCATTGGGCAATGGAGCTGGTGTGAACAAGCGCTTAAAGGTAAATAAACCGTGGAGAAGAAAGCTTTTACTCACAGTGCTGATTGCCAGATCCTCCAGGGCTGCTTAACGCAGTCTGTACTGAAATCGCAGCAAATGTCCAGAGGAAAAAGAACTTGGGTCCATTATATATGAACAGTCTGTGTGTCCCTGTCATCCGTCAGACCCTGGTGTCTTATGACCTCACTCATCATGTGATTTGTGAGATTCCTCCCACGAATTACTCTCTGCCGGACTCGCATTTCACATAACGCAGCAGCTGGAGATCGGAACCCTCTGGGACTCCAGGAAACTGGCAGTGAGCGTGAAAGGGAAGATTTTGCTGTCTGCTAAAAAAGCACCGTCATATCAACAAGGAGATTCTAGGACCTTTTTCTTGGTTGAACTGGATGGACTTTTGTCTTTTTTCAGCCAGACTAACTATGTAACCTTTAGCCCTGGTTCACACTGAATGCTACTTTGAATTTGTGCTGCTTCACTTGACTTCACACACTACTTCACTACATTTCAGCGGCAGGTCAGTGTGATTTCAGGTGCAACGCGCCTGACATTTGTGCGGCTTCATGCACGGATGTCTATGTAAGTCGCACCTGAAATCACAAAAAAAATGCAAGAACCTTCTTTTCAAATCAGAGTCCAACCAATTTGAACGGTTCCATTGTCGGCAATAGGGTGCGACTTGTCATGCGATTTTGAACTGTAAAATCGCATAAAGTTTTGCACCGATGTAACCAGGGCTTAGTTCTGCAACAGCTGCACTTTCGGAAGTTGGAAAAACTTTTATTTACATTTTTTTGGGGTGCGTTGAACTTGAAACCTAGTTCTAGTAGAGGTGTTGATTTTGTGTTTTGGAACCAACTACTTGACCTCTGCCTTTTTATGATGATCATTTATCATAATAGATTATCATATATATATATATATATATATATATATATATATATATATACTTACATACAGTCATGGAAAATTGTTGCCGTTACAAATGTTTCGGCATTGTCATGTTTCTTTCTTTTGTTTGTATTGGTATGACACAAAAAAGTGGAGAAACTAAAACCAAATCTGACACATTCCACGCAAAACCCCCAAAATGAACTGGACAAAATTATTTGCACCTTCTCAAGATTAAAAGAAATAATTGCAATCCAAGATTGTGTTGTTCCTGTAATTTGCAATTAAACTCGCCTATATCGATGAACAAGTGCTGACAATATAGAAATCACACCAGCAACCAGTTAAAATGGTGAAAAATGGACTCCACCTTTCTGTTGTGTGTCTCTGTGGGCCGCATGGAGAAGAGAAAGAGCAGGAAAGAGTTGTCTAAGGATTTGAGAACAAAAAGTTTGAAAAAACATGGCCAATATCAAGGTTACAAGGCCATCTCCGGAGATCTTAATGTTCCTGTGTCCACTGTGCGCAACATTGTCAAGAAGTTTACAGCCCATGGCACTGTAGCTAATCTCCCTGGATGTGGATGAAGGAGAAAAATTGATCAAAGATTGCATTGTTCAAATGGCGGCTAAAGAACCTCGATCAACTGGCAAATTCAGTCTGACCTTCAGGGTCCAACTGTGTCAAACCGCACTATACGTAGCCATCTGAATGAAAAGGGACGCTATGGTAGGAGACCCAGGAGGACCCCACTGCTGACACAGAAATATTGTAGGAGACCCAGGAGGACCCCACTGCTGACACAGAAATATGGTGGGAGACCCAGGAGGACCCCACTGCTGACATAGAAATATGGTGGGAGACCCAGGAGGACCCCCACTGCTGACACAGAAACATAAAAAAAAGCCAGAGTGGAGGTTGCCAAA